AACCCCAAGGTCATTTTTCTCTTATTGCAAGAAAACCCAAAGTAACAAGCGTGCCCCAAAAGCTCAAAAATGAGAAAACATAACAAATTCATTTTTCTGTTAAATTCGCAACTATGGGGATCCAATTCCTGGTATTAGGAAAAGGATTCATCGCCCATCAGTGGATGAATCCTTATATGAAAGATATGGGGAGAGAGGTTGTTAGGTGAGTGTGGCCATGAAAGGCCAGTGCTTGTAAAATAAAATGATATCATGGAACATGAACTCAGTGGGAGTGTGGTCCCTTGTGGATCATACTATGCAAATGATGTTTGCTGATACCAGACTGAGCTTGACGAGCTAGGCCAATCGGTTGGAAAAAACCTATATTACCTGGGAAACGAAAACTATTCGATAAGGGTTCTAATAGGTCATCCCTTGATGATGTCGAAGTATGTGATATCGGACTGAGCTTGAAAAGCTAGACCAGTTGATTGGAAAAAACCTATATTACCTGGGTAATGAAAACTATCTGATAAGGGTTCTAATAGGTCATCTCTTGATGAAGTCGGAGTATGCCGGGATGAGTGAGCCTAGGGACTGTATTACCCTTGTGTGTGATGGTGACCTTCAGAGACAGGAGTCAAAGCCTCGTTCTTGAGTCATCACATGGCATGCATAATGATAGCATTTCATAAAAACAAATCACCTTTTGGGGTGAAGCTTATACATGTGCGAGAGATACCCCTATGTGCCATAAGAGCTGTGGTCGCATCCGGTCAATGTGACCTTGGTATCGTCTCTAGGGGATAAAGGTTCTAGCACCTTCCATAATGTTGATGGCCCATCTATGGAATGGAGGGCTCAAATCTCTCACCCTACAAGTCACCCAAGATCAATGGTTCATATTCAATCTCATAAGAAGAGGCAAGCAAAAGAAAAGCCTAATAAATCCTAATCTTGTTCAAAGCCTATAAAAACGAATTGTCTTTATCCAAAATCTCTATACCTTATCTTTCTATCTCTTAAGAAAGAGATTGTCTCTACCCAAAATCTATGCACCTTATCTTTCTATCTCTCTCTCTCTCTTAAGAAAGTTTCTTTCTCTCTCATGAAAGCTCAAAGGGGGCATGCCCCACTCTCTCTCATCTTTGAAATCTCTCTCTCTCCCACATTGTGAAAGAACATAAGGGGTTAAGGCTTTTGAGAGTTGTCATCTCTCTCATGGTGTCTTTCATGATCTCACATCTCTCATTGGGGTTTTAGACTACAAGGTTGTGACGGAAAAAAGATGTATTTCTCTCAAAGTAGGTTTGCTAAGGGGATTCATCTAAGGGTTTGAGATTTGTAATAAATGAGTTCATAGTTCTATTAGAGGTTTTGGCTTAAACTTGTTTTCTTGGTTGAGATTGAAGGTTGATCGTTGATCCCGCGTCATTGGATGTTGGTGACTCGGTGTGTGAGATGTAATAAGCCCGATTGAGGTAATCTCCGACACTCTCTTTTTATTTCTTATCATATTTAATTATATTGTCTTTATATTCTCAAGCATAAGAATTGTGGATATTTTCTTTGTTTAAAAAAAATTGGTTTAATGGCATCCTGGTTTTTAAGATTTTGGATTTGTTAATTTTATTTTCTTTGAAGCAAAAGTTATTGTAATAAAAGTATTTGTAAATGATCTTTGCCAAAAGAAAAGAAAATGAATGAAAAAAAGAAAAATAAAAAGTACATGCCCCTACAAGATCGCATTAATCTTTCTTTCAGAGGCATGGATGAAGCTGGTTGAGAGAAAGGACTTAAAGATAATGGGTGCAGTAGGAGAGAGACTTGATGTATGGGAGCAGCAGGTTGAGAGAGATTTCGATGAACGGGGTGGAGGGGAATGAGAGAAGGCAGTAAAAGAGAGTTCATGCCTATACGACTTGAACATTTTTGGAAAGGGTTTTAGGCCTGTGCACAAAAGGCTTTTTATCTTGCGATCTAAAATGCAGGCGGTTGTCGACATTCTACAAGATATTTACATGACGATACAAATATATTTCATTTTTTACCTGAACGTGTGCTTCACCAGTTCGCCGGGTAGCATCTCATCTGCTTGATAGCTATTTGCAATTTGACGGCTTAGGATTGGGGTCCTATTCGTTTCGTTTGGGTGAGTGACGGTATCACGGGATCATTACCTGGAAGACCACAACAATGGGTTGGGACCGTTTCACACAAAACTCCTTTGGGCAACTATGAAACGATTGGGGTACCCAGGTTACTCTGCAACATTTTAGCCTTTTAGGGCATGTTTGATAGCAATCAAATTTCTTGATATTCCAAAATAATATAGAATCGAATATGATTTTAATTATAAAAGTTGGTGGACACGTTTGAAAGGCTTAAATCGTAGTAGTTGGTGGACATTTATATCTAAATAACTATCCAATATTTGAATTTCTAAAAATTCAACTCTAGAAGTTGAATTTTATAAGGAACAAGTTTATACAAGGATGCTACCTTAAAATGTAGAACTACTGATGCCCCTCAAAAATCCATCGAAAAAGGAAGTTTTAATATTAAAAAACCTTTTGATAGATCATCTCAACGTCGAGATGTATGACTATAAAAAATAAAAAAAATTTAAATCTCAAAAATAGTACATTTTACAACGTATTATCTACATCGTCCATTTTCAAGATTTTAATATGTTTATAAATCTACTTGATTTTAACTATTTTTTAAATTCAAAATTTTAGATTTTTAGATAAACGTAAGAACATTTTACATCAAAATTATATACCACGACAAAATTTGAAAGTGCACCTTACGGAGATGCATCTGTATGCAACCTGCACCCTTTTGTGAGATTCAGGATTTAGATTCTCACTCGCTTTCTCTCACCTCGCCCTTTCTTCACACCCAAGACACCCCTCTCTCTCTCTACAAGCCCTTTCAGCCACTAAGAACACAATTCGTGGGCGTGAAGCTTTTTGGCGCTGCAAGATGCATTTCTTCAAAACTCTCTCACTTGGATAAAAAGCCCCTTATCAATCCATTAGACTCTGAATTTCTATTTTAGTTTCATAGTAAAGAAAAGGAATATGAGGAACACATGTCAAAGCATAATTTTGATTAGAGTCGCATCCTAAGGAATCGCAAGAGAAATTCCTCAGTTTTAGTTGAAAGGGCGAATATCCTCCCTTACACTAGAAAGAACAGAAGAATTTAGAGGAGAACCATTCCAGGGGTTTGCAGATGGGTCATAGCCTACATCAGATATCTCTCTCTTTCCTTACAGCTCCATGCTTCCATCGACAACCAACAGTGGAGATTTTGTAAGGCCGCCCTAAAGCCCAGTACACCGGACCATCAGAATCCTTGCTCCAAAAAACTCCTGGGCATAGGATTGACAGCCATTGGAACATTAGAGGCATCCTTAGGAACTTGTGTGTGTTTATGAGATGCCATTTGCTAATGGAACTGATTTCACCATGCAGAGAGAGAGAGAAACGGGGAAAATGAGGGATAAATGAGAAAGAGAGAGATTTTGGGCAGCCATCAAGCCCTTTTTTGAGAAAGCGGGTTGGGGTACGAGTATAAAAAGAGCTAAGGAATAAAATATCAAAATACCACCATGTGAGGGACTCTATGATCATTACTCTTTCTAACTTAAATAATGATCATTACTCAGAACTTAGTATTGTGGATGATCATAAATAAGCATTTTATTGATCACCCACCAAATTGGTACATTATAACATTGATAAGCATTGGATTATTACAGGCATCATATGTGAACATGTTACTTGAGGTGGGGCTGCCACTCACTACGTGATTATAGATTGATAAATTTGTTAGGTAACTTGGCAGAGATTATTATACATGGATTCATCTCGTAAGTTTATAAGATTTTTTAGCTCTCACAACAGCACAATCCTTAAACCCAACTCATGGGAATTTAATTCTATGTTTTTAACCTTGTAGAAAATTGCAACATAACACAAATAGGCTCCTCGAACTCCTCCAGTAACATAGAATTTCATGGAGCTCCTCCAACAACATACAATTTGTGAATGCATTTTCATTTATCATTTGTGTTTTAATCATGAATCTATATCATTCGATGTTGATCAAAACATTGTTAAGTGCATTTGCAAACTACATTTTTTCATGATGAGAAACTTGCTTTCAAACAAAATGAATTCACAATTTTGAAATAATTAGAATCAAAGTCTTGCACAGATAGAATCGCAATGTTGTATAGCTAAGAATCACAAAGCCTGCGATATAAAATATTGATTTCAGGCATCCAAGAACCAAGATTCATATACTAAATTGAATCTCATTTCGAGAAACTTAAAAACATGATTCCTTTCTTCCATGATCAAGTTTCATCATGGAAAACACATAATCAAGATTTTGAAACGGAGTCACCACCTCAGTTGGTTATTCGGGGTACTATAAGCTGAACTTTAACAATGAATAGCTTGTGAAACAAACTTATGGGCGAAACCCCTTTCTAGTTAATATTTGCAGCCAAGTTGCTTTTTGCCAAGTGATGCAATAAAGGGCAAGAATGTTTTTTGGGTACTCAAAACTATGAAAAACCAAAGAGGCACCCATGTCCACACCTTAATTTCATCCTACGGTGAAATCCTATCCTACTCGCACCTTTATAACCAGGTCAGAATTAGCCAGCATAATGGCGATTACGTTCGTCACTTGGGTTTTGTAAATCATGCTTTGCACTTGGGGCCCTAAATTGAGTTGCATTGGAAGTGACTCTTGAGATTACCATGGCAGGGAAGCAAGATTGAAATGCCTTCTCTTTCTCTCTCCAATACACTGTGGACACCCAAGTGCTGTAATTACCATCTAGATTATGCAGGTGCTTCACATATGGATGGTTTGGTTAGATACAAAAAATATTACAGGGAACAGGATGCAGAACTACAGCACCAGATCATAATGAGCTCACAAACTAACAAAGGAAAACTAAATGGAGCTTGTTTCTCACCCCCAAGATGCAGCCATGAGATTTAAATTTGGATATCATTGAATTATCAATCATTAACTGGAACAGGATGCAGAACTACAGCACCAGATCCATACTGACCTGAGAAGCTAACAAAGGAAAACTAAATGGAGCTTGTTTCTCAGCCCCAAGACGCAGTCCCGAGATTTAGATTTAGAAATCATTGAATTATAATTCATTAACTCTGCTAAACACATACAAAATCCAGCCGAAGATTTGATCACATCAACTAAGCACTAGACTCGCGAGCTTCAGCAGCATAAATTTCAGAATCAACAGTTGCTATGAGTTGTTGACTCAAATGTTTGGCAACAGAAACCATGTCAATGATAATGCTGGGGTCGAGGCCTGCTCCCCCTCGCTTGGTGAGCCCACAGACGTCTCCTTGCCTGTTCACAGACATCGAGACTGCCGAGCTCATTTGTGATTCTTCTTCTATAGTCGCATCAACAACGTAATGCCTCCCAACCTGAGGAAACAACTCATGTTAGAGAGAGAGACATATGCCTACCAAACTGAGAACCACCGTGTGTGTGTGCGTGTGTGGGAGAGAGAGAGATAGAGAGACTGCTGAATCCCCACCTGTGGAACGCCTTGAGAGCAAGAAAGCAAGACTGCAATGCTTCCAAACCTAAGGAATGGTTGTATGCGTGTGTGTGCATGAGAGAGAGAGATATATTCGTTTGATAGGTAAAACAAGCTGGATTTAAACCAGGGAAGAGAGTAGGGGGTGCATTATAAAGGAAGACAAATTCTACTAAACAAGAGCTCCACCAACAGCGAGAGAGAGAGAGAGAGAGATAAGTCTATGACAAGAAAGTAGGAAATAGTGAGTATTTAACAAGTGGTCCACGAGATAACTCTATGACAAGAAAGTACGAAATAGTGAGTATTTAACAATTGGGCCATTAACTAGGAATTTAGCAATCACCTTAGTAAGAGTCACGATGATGGGAACCTTCGATGAGTCTAAACGAGTGAACTCATCATCGCTGATGTCAATCTCAGGTTCCTCTTCTGCAGAGGTGCCAGGCATTGCTTCAACTTTTGGTATGCCTGTATTGCTCAAGGCAGCCTATTAAAAGAAATGAACATAGTCCTATATCAGAAAATGCAATTGGAAATAATCTTTGTCGAAAAAATACTAATATGGGCACTAAACTTTTGATTATTGATGGAAGCACACAAGGAAAAGAGAAAAAAAAAAAAAAGCATATTTTTATTCAAATACACTTGGCCTCAATAGGCTCTTACAACTATCAATTTTCTCTCTCTAGAACTCTGTGGAACAATGGCCTCTCTGTTCGTCTCTCTCTCTAATGTACAATGGCATCTCTCTCTCCCTCTCTCTCTCTTTCTCTCTCTCAACTTTCTCTCGTCTACATATACCTCTACCAGGACTTCATGTGACTATTAACTACATATCCCCTAAAAAACATAATCCTAACTTACCTTGCAAGTTAAGTTCTTTCCAATCTTGCTAATACCCAAAAATCAAGATATTCCAAAACAACGTAATATATTCTAGAACTCAATTGATTTTGATTGGATACTTCCCAAAACTCAATAGACTACACATACCTCCTAATTCCATACAAAAATCCCACCTAATTTTCCTATTCAAATAAAGACAACTTGGTAATGTACCATTTTAACACCCTCCTTCATTGCCAAGTAGTTCCAAGTTCCAACATCTTTTATAACCAAGGCTTTGCTTGAACCTATCTTTTTATCATTCTATGATTTGGTGAAGATATCAACCACCTGTTCATTGCTTGGCAGGTATATCAAGTCAACCTCCTCACTTGACACCTTCTCATGAACAAAGTGATTGTCCACCTCAATGTGCTTTGACTAGATTTCATAATAACATGATTGAATTGTTGTTGCTACGAATTGGGACTGTGTTGGCCATAACCTCTCCAAACTCTTTGGGTAACTAGGTCAACCACCCAGCATTGCTCCTCTATGTTCTACTTTTGTGAATGATAATGCTATGTCAGTTGCTTCTTGCTTGTGCATAATACCCTTCCAAATCACAAACTAAAATTGTATCTGGATGTCAAGCAATGGTTGGTCGCCTACCCAATTTGCATCACAGTGACCTACTAGCTTGATAGGAATTTTTTGCTCCTAGAGCACTGCCCCAACAATGATGGTCTTCACATACCTCAATATCCGTTTCACTACATCCATATATGGCTTCCTTTGCTCTTGCTTGGACTGACTTATGATCCCAAGTAGATAAGCTAAATCTGGTCAGCTTGTAGTCAACTACATCGGGCTACTTACCATCTCTCTAATGGCCCGTCATTATCTATGAGATCCACAACATTTTTTGACAACTTGTGGTTTACATGGGCATTCGGCCTTAATTTTGCATAGCACTTTTTGACAACCTGAATTTTGATAGTACTGCCCCATTCATTCATTGTAATTTCAAATCCAAGAAAATATTCAAGTTCTCCCAAATCTTTGGTAGAGAAAATCCTTTATTCTTTCAAGTTCTTAGGTTGTTGCCTGTAATGATTAGATCAAAATAAAATGAATGCCTTGTAAAGAGAACAAATCCTTGTAATAGAAAAAACTCGCATTAACTTGTCAAGCCATGCTCTAGGTGTTTGTTGCAAGCAATATAGAACTTTCTTTAATTAGCACACATATGGAGACTTAACATGGTCTTCATACTCCTTACACTAGTGCATATAAACTCTGTCACTCTCTCCATCCAAGAAGGCATTTTTCATGTGCATCTTATGGAGCCTCCAATCCTTTACTGCAGCCAAGGCGAATATCACACACACTTTGAATCTTTGCAATTGAGCTAAATGTCCGCTCATATCCCCATATGTTTGAGAAAACCTTTTAGCCACCAACCACGCTTATAACACAAACTACTCCATTGGATTAACGTTTTATTTTGTAATTTGCAACCAGTTGCTTTCTATCCTTCTCGCACAAGAACCAAGTCCCTCATTTGGTTCTATGAAAGTGCACTCATCTCTTGTTCCATGGCATGTTTGCCACATTGGATTGCCTACTACTTCTTAAAAGCTCTTTGGTTCCTGCTCATTTATGGAATGCATGATGCATAATTGATATTAACCGGGTAATTCAACATTTGTGGACAATGCTTAATCCATTCATGAGTCAAAAACTTGAGAGCGCAACTTCCTTTTCTTTTGATGATCTGGGAATGGACGGGTTCAAGGGAGACTCTAAATCCTCAATGGGTGTCAAATACCCCTTTACTTCTCCAACTTCATCTAAAGCTTGATGCCATTGTGCCTGCTCATCAAACTTCACATCTCTACTTTCGTGGGTCCAGATGTACAGGATCAATGCATCAGTATGCTTTCTTTCCAATGAATACCCAACGAAAATGTACTTTATAGCTTTGCCATCAAGTTTTTCACAATCCTCATCACCATGCTCGCATAGGTTATACGCCAACAACATGAAGATGTGCATAAACGGATTTCTTATTATAGAGAAGCAGATATAGCACCTTCATTCCTTCTCTTAACATCATGTGACTGAGTACATATTACCTCAAACCAACATACTTTCAGCAAGTTCCTTCAATTCACAAGATTGTATGAGTGACTTATGTGATATGTCGACTCTTCCTCTCATCAATCCCATTTTGTTGAGCCGTCCCAACACATGTTAGCTAACTCTTGATCCCATTCTTTTTAAGAAATTATCAAATTCCTAACAAAAACCTTTCCACTATCATCTGTCCTGAAATCTTATCTTTAATAGAATCCATTCTCTATTAGTGTTTCAAATTCTTTTAAGTACCCAATTATTCCATTTTATTTCGCATTAAGTAAATCCATGTGTACATGAAATAATCTTCAATGAAAATAACATAATACCCTATGTGTCTGCGTGATTCCACTGGACTTGGACCCAGTCAACACCATGGACAATCTACAATAGGTACTTTACACTGTGGTGGACTTGACAAATCGAAGTTTTATGGCCTTTACAAATGCACATGCATTGCAATGTGATTCGCATCAAATTGAATCAAGGGGCATTCCAGTAACTGGCCTCTTCCTTGCCATATCTCTTAGCCTAGGAAGATTGTAATGACCTAATGTATTTTTCCATAAGTAGGTAAATCCATGTTCATAGCAAATATTATGACCTACTCTTTTTGCACGAGCGACAATTCTCCATCTTCGATTGACAGGAATTCAGAACCTCTTTCACCAATAACAACATGGATGCCTAATCTGACGATTGCCTAGAGATTTTTTTCTAAATTTCAGAACATGGACATTTGAAAGATTGGTGATATTTCATTGGCCACTTGCAATGTAATATTTACTGTTACCTTTTACATCAAGCGTGGTATTGTCCCCTGTCATGACACTTAACAAGTCATACAATGGTTCTTTGGTGGTGAAGAGATCGCATTGTGGTGCCATATGGCTTAAACATGTTGAATCTATGTACAATTGGTCTTTGCTCTCATATGCATCAATGCTACAAAGTTCCTCCTGTTTTCTCCACACAAGCTTCTTTTTCCTCAAGTTTTCCCTTGATAACATAATTTCATTGGATATGCCAACAATCTTTGGCGTGATCTCCAACTTCCCCACAAGTATAGCTGGAACGTTTCCTTAATCTAAAGGCATTATGAGGCTTGCCTTGCTCATTATTATGATGTTGCAGTTGTGACCCTTTATTATTTAAGGACCCTTCCCAAACACTGTAACCTCTTATACCATAAGATTTCCCACGAGTGTTAGTAAATAAGGCCTCTTTCAGGTACCCTATCTTCTTCGAATTATTGTTTGACCCCAAATTTCAATGAGTGCTTCCTCTTGAACAATAGGCTTATGGCATTCCATGGATGGCCCGGATTTTTTAATGAAAACCCTGATGGCATCAAACACGGTCCTTAGGTTTTCCAAGATAATTGCAACTTAGGTGTCATTCTACATCTTAACACATATCCGTCCCAATTGATCTCAAAGATCCTTCACTTTACAAGAAAATTCAGCAATTGAGTCATTGTGTAGACCTACTTCTAAGAAGTCCTTTCTTGCACCACTTCACATTGGCCAACTGAAACCAGGCTACTTTCATCATTCTACATCCCTCAAATGAATAATATATCTGATCCACATGAAATTTCGATTGTGCATAGAGCCTTGCCATTCTGCTTTTTCCATGTCATGAACTATCTTGGGCAGTGGGTCTAGGATCTATCTCATCAACTACATCCCATAGGCCTTGCCCTATTAAGTAGTGCTTCAGCCACACCTTCCAATTTTCATATTTCTTGTTAGTGAGGATTTATAAAACTATAGCAATTCATGCTTCAGTTTTCTATCATGGAATTTGGGGCTAAATGTAGTCCACTGAGTTGTGGAAAGCATCTAATTAAAAATCAATTAGTTTCTATTTCTAAAATATATTAGGTTTTAGAATGTCTTTTTGGCTTTAGGTATTAACCAAATTGGAAAGAACTTAACTTGAAAGCCAAGCTAGGATATAATCTTTGGAGTTTATTGAGTCTATGAATAGTTAGAGGTCATGTAAACTCTTGGTAGAGGCATATGTGAGCAAGAGAAATAGTTTGAGGAAGTGTGAGAGAGGCTATCATGTCTGGTTAGAGACAAAACATTGAGTTATAGAGTTCTAGAGAGAAAATTGAGAGTTGTAAAGAGCCCATCTTCCAACCCAGATCACCAAAAGGCTCGTTTTCTTCCTTTTGTGGTTTTACTAAATTCGAATATCGTCTAATCTCATCCTTAATAGCTTCAGGAACTTTTTTACAAGAAGCAGCATTCAAACCTTTTTACAATAAGCAACATTCCCTTTAAGATTAGCTAGGTGTTTCTTGAATTAGTCAATACCCCCATTGGTATCTTTTTCACAAAAATTACACCTTATACAATTTTTATCATTTGGTTTCAGGTTATACCTACACTTCCAACCTGGATCACCACTTCTAAAAGAACCAGAAATAGACTTATCCAAATGACAAGGCTTTTTGTTCTTGTTTGTGTTTTACCGAACTCATATATTGCTTAATCTCCTCTCTAATAGCTTCAGGTACATTTTTACAAGAGGCAACATTCTACCTAATACCGGTAACATATTTTTTGAACTGCTTTATACCCCCATTAGTATTTTTTTGCATTAATTACAACTTATACTATTTTTAACATTTGAATTTGTGCTATAAGTATATCCAACCCGGATCATCACTTCTAGAAGAACCCTAAAAAGACATTGAAATAACAAATAAAATCTAAAATATGAAGATTTTTCACTAAACCTTTTTGCTCGATCTTCTATCTTCAATGTTTGAGATGTTTCTCAATCTCAAATACTTCCCAAGGGCCCTCTAATAAGACTTAAAAAAATCATCAAAAGCAAATCCAAACAAAAAAGATGATGTTTCATCGATTTTTCAAAACTCTGAAATACCCGATCAATCTCTTAGAAACAATGTTTTAAAAAACAAACTACCCAGCACTAAGGAGGCCGCAAAGGCAATCCAGAAGGCCTGGTGCATCGCCTAGGCCTAGGCACCAAAAAACACGGAATCCCTGGGCGACCACCCAGGGTCTACACCCTGCCCAGGGGCGAAAAAGCCACTCATTGGGGCATTTGTGTTTTTTTTTCTTAATAGTAAAGGGCGAAAATTGTGGGTTTTAGGTTCATTTGAAACCTAAAACACATTACAGCCTATTTTAGAGAGAGAAAACTCCCAAAAAACTAGTTTTTGGTAATTTCTATAGGATCGAAGGGCTTCTCAAAGTTGAGAGATTGATCAAAACATCACTTATTGATATTGGATTTAATTTTGGATGTTTTATAAATCTATTAGATGGTTTTTTAGAAGATTTTGAGTCCTTAGAAACATTTTAGAGGTAGAAGTTTGAAGATCGAGCAATCAAAGTAAGTGATTTTTTTTATTGCTTATATATAAATTTTATTATTTTTAGATGTCTTCTTCGGGATCTAATCGAAATAGTGATCTGGGTTGAAAATATGATTACAACCCAAATCCTTTGAATAAAAATTACATAAGATGCAAGTTTTGTGAAAAGGATACAAAAGGGGGGATAAACCGGTTCAAGAAACATCTTGTCGGTGTCAGGAGAGATCTTGCCCCGGGTAAAAAAACTCATGATATTGTTAAAGAGGAAATAAACAATTTTTTGAGTCGTGTAAAAATGAAAATTGATGAGAGACGTGCCTCCATAATAGAGATTAGGTCTGGGGTTCGGGTCAGTTATGAAGATGATGACAGTCATGAGGACGGGGAGGGATGTCAAGAGGTAGAACAATCCATTATTAGGGAGAATGGAAAGGGAGTTGTAATTGCTTTTGGGAGTTCGGTGCCTAATAAGCCTTGGGTTAGAAGCCCTATGGATTGTTTTGTCACAGTCTGACCCTAACGTTGCAAAAGAGAAAACAAACAACCAAACCACCATTGAAAATAGAATCCAGAAGGAAGAGAGAGATAGAGTTGTTTTTTTGTTGCTACATGGTTTTATGAGGCAAGCATTCCTTTCAATAATGCTCGCCTAAGCAGCTTCTACGCCTTGGTAGAGGCAATTGGCCAATTTGGGCCTCGGATGAAACCCCCAACCCTATATAAGCTTTCAGAGCATCTTTTGAAAAAAGCGGTGAGCATCAAGAAAGATGTTGAAGTTCAGAAGGATACATGGGCTCAATATGGAGTTTCTATTATGAATGATGCTTGGAGTGATAGGAAGAGAAGAAGTGAGATGAATTTGTTGGTGAATTGTCCTTTAGGGACGGTTTTTTTATGTCCATTGATGTCTCTGATCATATCCATGATGCCCCAAGTTATAGAGAAGGGAAGCAAGGAGGTAGGGGAGCAGCTTGTTATACAAGTTGTCACAGACAATGCTGCTCCTAATATTGTTGCTCCTAATTTGTTGCGCATAACTTATCCTAGAATCTTTTGGACACCATGTGCAGCACATTACATAGACCTCATGCTTGAGGCTCTTGACGGTTTAAGCGAGATTTCAAGTGTAGTGAAGAAGGCAAAGTCAGTTACGAATTTCATTTATAGCCACACTCTCACCCTCAGCATGATGCGTAGGTTTACAAAGAAGAAAGAGATTATGAGGCCTGGGTCACGAGATTTGCAACCTGGTACTTATGCCTAGATAGCATACACTCGAGGAGAGTCTAGTTGAGGCGGACGTTTACCTCGGATGACTAGACAGCATGCAAGTGGTCCAAGGATCAGGTTGGGAAGGTGAGAGAAATTATCCTTTCTAAGGCTTTTTGGCAAAGGGTGAAGGTCGCTCTTAAGGTATTTTTTCATCTTATCAAAGTCGTTCGAATGGTTGATAGTGACAAGGCTTCTACGGGCTACATATATGAGCTATGGAGAGATGCAACAGAGAGAGCCCAAAATTTAGATGATGATGATGAGAACCGCTATTAGCCTTTTTTGGAGATTATTGATGAGAAGTGGGATAGGCAACTACATCGGCCATTGTATGCAGCTGGTTATTATTTGAACCCAGCTTTTTTTTTATGTTGATAAGGATATACACACAAATGACACAATTATGATTGGATTTAATAAGTGTGTAGATGTGCTAGTCCCTGATCCAGATATCCAGGATATTATATGTGTTGATGAGCTGATAAATTACAAGTGTGCATTAAAGTCTTTTGGGAGTCCACTGGCGCTGACGCAAAAGACCAAAATTGATCCAAGTAATAATATTCTTAAGTTCATCAAGTTCAAGTAATCAAGTTTCATTTCTATAATTCTATTATTTATTTATGATTTTATTCTATATCTTTGCAGCCAATTAGTGGAGCCAACATGGGTGTAGTGATCCAAATTTACAAAAATTGGCCATTCGGATCTTAAACCTAATCACTACCTCGTCCGGCAGTGAGCGGAATTGGAGTACTTTTGAAGGGGTAAGGGTAATTTGTATTAGTAATTTAGTACTTTAGTAGTTATTAGTTTTGATTGTTTTGTAGAATTACTATTATATATTTAATTATTTATATTAATTAGTTTCATTTGATTTTGTTAGATTCTTACAAAAAAAAAGAACAAACTTGAATCAAAGAGGCTCAATGACCTAGTCTATGTCAAGTATAATCAATTCTTGAATGACAATTTTGCAACGAGAGACCCCCTTTGATAAAAAAATATGGACAATGCTATGGAGTAGTTGGTTGATGATGATCAGGTCAAGAGGCATGAAGGATTGACATGGGATATGGTCATGGATGCTTCAAGGACATCAACCGACCCTCCTAAGGCCACTAGATCTTCTGCAAAGAGGACGAGGGTGGAGCAAGGGGAGGAAGCAGAGGCAGATTCAAAAGAGACAGAGAAGGATGACCATTATGTCGAGGAGGGGGATGATGACAATGATGATGGCATTGACTAGATGCATATGATGCATATGCAGCTGACCCTACTTTTTCTGATGATGAATGATGAATGCTTATTGAACTTTCAACATTGAAGACTCTTTTGAGTTTTTAAGTGTTTCTTTCATTTTTGTTTTCCTCCTCTTGGTTGTGTATTGTGTGGATAGTGGATTTGTGGTTCCATTGGTTTGGTATTTGGTAACTTTGGTAATTTGATTGGTAAATTTTAAGTTTTAACTATGTGTGGAATGTGGATTGTGGAGTGTGGACTATCAATCAAACTATGGATAATTCATAATTGGATACGGACTTATGGTCATGGTCTTATGGAGTGTGTGCTCCTATGTGTTGTGTAGTATACTTTTGAATTTTGATGTATCTTAAATCCATAATTCTTATGTTTTATACAGATATACTTATACTGTTAAAGACTATAAAGACATTTTTCTTTCTACTGGACCGCCTAGGTTTGGGTGCCCACTTAGGTGTTGGGTGGCCTGAACCCCCCAAGCCGCCTAGGACCCGCCTAGCACCTTTTGAAACGCATCTTAGAAATGTAAAAAAGTGATTATTTTTTAAAAAATATCCACTCTAAAGGTAAACAAAGCGGTTTAGCCGTTTTGGTCACACAATAACTTAAACCCGCCCCCTTTCCCCCTTGGGTAAAAAAGATGAAACTACCCCTCAATGAGGAGGATTTTCACCCCTAAGTGGGGAGCTAGCCCTAGGCGGCCACCCAAGGTTGGGCACTGGGCAACCACCTAGGCAGGGTCCCAGGCGCTAGGCAGCTACCCAGGATGCTTGCCCAGACTTGAGCGATGCGCCCTGGCCTGACTAGGCGCTAGGCGGGCTGCTTTTCAAACATTGACCATGAGGATATCTGTGGCCATGGCATTTAGATATTCTTTCATAAAGCATGAGGGGCTTATGTTCTAGTTCATCCTCGCATTCAAGTCACAAGCTATGCTGATGAATCTGCAGATTAAAATAAATAAACTACCACATATGTGTTAATATTAGAATGAAAATAGGGAGAGCATGACATACCGCAAGCTTCAACAAAACCCTTAATATCAGACAGTGGATTGTTTGTTGTTTTCTTCTTAATGATGTTCAGATAAAAAAAGAAAGAAGATTCAAAATTTTGGGCCACTAATAACTTGGTTTAGCTCAGTGAGTGCTTCACAAAATTCTTTACAATTTCCCCAAGCAAATTAATGTGTAAGTACTACGAATATTTTTGTACGCATCTAAATTCCAAAATAAACAAACAAGCCAAAATAAACCGATGTCACAAACTAAAGGACAAGATGATGGCCAGATGAAGAAAAGATACATAATCAGAAGAGCAGTAAATTTTGTGAAGATGTACCCAAGAAATTTACCTTGATTGCAATACCCAATGCATCCAATAGATTCCCATCCGAACTAATAACAAGCCCGTCAATGTATAGATCCCAACACATCTTGCCCTCCACAATTTTCAAAGAAGAGAGATCGATTCCAGCACCTGAAATAAATCGATTGAGGATGATGTAATCCAGATCACCATAAATAAAGACCAACAGCTCCATCACATTAGATCCAGTCAAGACCCATGATTAGAACACAACCTAAGAAATGCAGGTAAGTGGTACATACCTGACCCACTTTTACCACCCAATAAACATCTCTCCAATGCAACTGAGAGCTCTGTTGAGAGTTCATCCCCTCCCCTACCCTACATACCAGACAACAATAAATTTAAATGATGAGAGGAATAAACTGAACTGCCCATATGTTACTAACTCAGCCTAATGCCGTGAGCCAACCTCATCAAAACGTGAGATCCTGGAAATCTGGATTCACGTTATACAAGCTTGTGGATTATGTCATTGTGAAATAATAATACCATGAAAACTCCAATAATATACAGTTTTAAATATAGAAGCATTAACAAGGTGTAATAGAGTACTGATCCAAAGTAATGGTATCGTTACAAACTAGAGAGGGGATATGATAAAAATAAGAAATAACTAAGTTACAATAGATATATCTTTTCCAATATGTGCATGATAGATAGAGTCCATTAGGAGTATAGCCACATTTCAAAAAAAATAGGTTATGAACTGCTAGCAAGGGGTGGAATCAAATACTCTCATGATATTGGTCAAAATAGTGAACAAAGATGGATCTTATAATGTGAAAATAGGGCAATGTGAATGTTTTCGTTTACCCATTTTGGGCATTTTATCCATCATAGGAAAGAGTAGGTTGGCCCAACAATGTCATCACTCTTCAGTCTTCACACAGCTTACAGCTCAACTCACCTCTTCGACATTACTGTAATAGAGTCAGAATTTCAACCAACATTTGCAAGACTTCAAACAAAACATAAAATCGGAAATTACAAATGTATCCCCTTAAACAAATACATGTCCCTCTTTCATATCATGTTGCCTTTCAATTCTCATAGAGTAATACGGGGGTTCTCTACCAACATCATGTGTTTTCACTTTTGAGAAACCGCGAGACATGAAATCTCCATAGAGAATACCAATTTATCTCATGGAAAAGAGTTTTCTTTTCAAATGAAAAGATATGCATAAAACATCAGTAAACAACTCAGACATCTGATTCATTTCATACATTCAAATATCAGTTCATAAGCTCTTTTTTCTCTTCTTTAGCTGTTTTTTTTTTCTTCGAAAAGTTGATTGTCTTAAATGGAGTTTAATAATCCACATAGTTTGAGACAGTGTTCCAAAACATGCCGGGCCGCACCTAGGCGACCGAGGGGGTCTAGGCCGCCCAACACCTAGGCGGCCACCCAGAACCTGAGCAGCCAAGGTTCAAAAGGGGACACGGGGTGCTCAGTAATCCTGTTTTAGGTCCTAATTTTGTATAAAAGATGCATATTCATCCATATTTTATAATCCAAACAAAAAAAAAAAACCAAAAATACCATACCCGATGGGTATTTTTACACCTAGGCGGGTGCAGTCCCCTGACGCCTGCCCAGGTACCCTGGGCATCCGCCTAGACGGGTACTTGACCAGGCGCCTAAGGTCCCTAGGCAGGCGCCAAGGGACAACCCGCCAAGATCGTCCGCCCCAGCTGCCCTAGCCCGCCAAGGCGCTCGACGGACCGCTTTTTTAATCAATGGTTTGAGGACCAAGCACTACATCAAAATGTGTCTACCCAACTTAGTCTTTACACTTGTTACATTCCTTCATATAACTTTCACTAAATAGAATTCACATCCCTTTCATAGTATTCACTGCATAGCATTCACATTCACTAATTGAATATCATATAACATTCACTAAATAGCATTCATACTTGAGCATGCACAATTTCTGAAAAGTTCTGTCAATAGTGACCCAATCCCTGTAAAATGGGCGTAGCTTTCAATCTAGGCGGTTTTTCACGAAGCCAATAAGAGAAAAAGGTCGTTGGCAGTAAGAGAAGGGAGAAGGGAGTTGGCAATAAGAGAAGAAGGTCGTCATATTAGTACAACATACAGAGTATCAAACCAAATTTTAGCTCATTGTTCCTACCAATGGTTTAAAAATCAGTGAGTCGTAACAGACTCGCTCGAGTCGGCACTAGAATCGGTGACCCCATGCCGATTTTTGTGTAAAACCGAGAATCGCTCAGTTCTAGAGTAGAATCGCCGGTTTTGAGCAGTGAACCGCCCTCATGACATCATAAACCGACAGTTCTCGCCAGTATGATGTCACAAGATCTGTTGTGGCTGACGTCACCATGCTCCACGCGTGTGAATACATCTCGCATGTGTCGCACATGTGAATACATCTCGTGTGCGTCGCGCGTATGCAAAAATCTTACGCGCACCGCACGTGGTTCCCATCCCAGCATATCATTTGGAATAGCTGATCATTCAATTGTTTATATGCCCAAGGTATGTCCCACCTCTGCTCGATGTGGGACAATTCTCAATGCCCAACGTTGAGATGTTAAATCAATATATTGATTTATTATAGCATAATATGCTAAATGTGGTGCAACGGGAAGTTGGCTATCACGTTGGATTTCTATACAGGAGGTCTCAGGTTTGAACCTCCATGGTGTTAACCTTTTTCCTTTTGTCAAATGTCATAAAAAATAGTTTTTCTTTTGTCAAATAATCTCACAAAAAAAAACGTGTTTTACTTTTGTGTTTTATTTTTGTCTTAAATAATATCATAAAAAATAATATCAAGGAAGAAAATAATGTCATAAAAAAAAGAAAAAAAGCGTTCCATTTTTATCTTCTCAAAAAATATAAGGCAAAAAATAATATCATCAAAAAAATTGAAGGAAAAAAATAATATAAATGAAGAAAATAATATCATGAAAAAAAATAAAGAGGAAGAAAATAATGTCATAAAAAAAGAAAAAAAAAAGCGTTTTATTTTTATCTTCCAAAAAAAAATAAAAGGAAAATAATAATATCATCAAAAAAATAAAAGGAAAAAATTGAAATAAAAGATAATACAACAAGCATTTCTTGTCAAAAAACAATTTATCTTCTAAAAAAAATAAAAGGAAGAAAATAATGTCATCAAAAAAATAAAAGGAAAAAATAAAATAAAAGATAATACAATAATTCAAGATTTTAGTGGCCATTTTTTCATCTATTTAATCCATTCTTTATTGTAGTCCATGCATCATTATATATTTTATCAATGATGATTCTATGATTTTTCTTGTATGTAATGCAAATTTAATGGTTAACATAAGTTCAAACAGAGAAATAACACCCTAATATTGGCAAATTGATGAAAAAAAAAATGAAATGATAATGTAGTACCCCTATTTCTTATTGGATTGTTAAAAAACAACATTTATAATGGATTTTAATAATTTTTTCGGATTTTTTTTACGGCTTAATCAGACCGATTCCGCCGATTCCCGATCCAAATCGCCGATTCACCGATCCAAGTGGGTTTTTGAGGTGCCCGATCCGTTTTTTAAACCACTGGTTCCTACTCTTTGCCAATGAATCATTCTTGGAATTTGCTTTTAAACGTAAGGCCCCTTATTGCTTCTCAATATAGGACTAGAATATTAACATGAAAACATTGTAGACTGTCCAGACTCCAGAGGATAAAATCAATCTAAAACTTGCCGAAAAAATTATCATGCAAACTAGAAGCTGACAACAATCACAATTTTATAGTAAGAACAAGAAAAATCTCACAATAAAGATTTCAGAATATGAATATAGACAAAGCAGGATGAGAAAAGACCCCCCAAAACTCACATTTCCTCTATCAACATTTACACATAAGTCGTTGTAACTTGATGTATACTATTCTCATTAAATGAACTTTCAATTACTTAAAAAAGGATATGAAAAGAAAAATGGAAATCATAAAGAAGACAAACTAAATTGAGGTGCAATATACTTTAACTAGCGTTTGCCAGAGGACAAACTAAATCATTCGATAATAGTTGCATATGTCAAATTTTTTTTTTCCCCGCTAAGTTCAAATAAGAAGTTACTAAAAGCAAATGGTAGGTTTGAATATAGGATGAAAATGTGCATGAAATATATACAAAACATCAAAGCATATCACAAGAACTCTTTCTTATAATATTTTTTGTGGATCTTTTTTCTCGACCTCGACTGTTTTTTTAAGGTCATTTAAAACATGCAACTATTACTTTGTCTCTCTTTCAATAAACTCCTAAAGTTAAAAAGTGTGGTTCTGTTACAGGCAGTGCTCTAACTATCGAACCGGTAAAGTTCCTGGGTCTGAGTAACCAGTAAATCGGCCGGCAATTCCCGACCGGTCCAAAAAGTGTTAGAAAAACAAAAAAATCCCAAATAATATGAAAAGTATATTTAAAGCATAATTAAACAAGCACATCCAAATGAAGTTGAAAAGTAGAGAAAGGATTTTAAAAAATCGATTTGTGCCCAGGGGTATTTCCAAAATTTTCCAAAAAGGAAGGGAAAATGTAAAAATAAGTATCCATGGCCAAAACACTATCCAGTCTTTGCCAATATGATAAAAACATTAAAAAATACATTACAAACAAATCCCTTATTTTATGGGGTTTTATATATTCTTTTTTTTTAAAAAAAAATAACAGGCCGGACCACTAAATCCGGATCGGCCCATGCCCGGATCCGGTTTGACCGGCAGGTTCCGAGTTGGAGAAGCCGAGTTTGTGAACAATGGTTACAGACTTTCAGCAAGTGCACTTTATCACTAAACGTAAACCATTTCTTATAACCAAGGAAGACATTGTTGCGCGACATTCCATATTTTAGAAAAGATAACAACGACATATCTATCAATCAGTATCTGTCTCCAAATGCAAAACAAGAAAATCTTCTAAGTAACTAAAATAAAGAAAATTTATAATGGTTGTTTTACTGCAAATGATATAATACCAATTAAAGCATTAATTTTTGCAAACCTCAAACATTGGTGCTGCCGTAGGACTACAATCTACAAAAATTGAAACTTTCCCACAATCATGTCGATATGAACTAGGCTTTCCAAGTTCAGCCTGCAATCACAATAAAATCATCTGAAGCCTTGAAACCAATTATCACTCAAAAAAAAAACTGGGATTGTATCTTCCATCCTAAAACATCTAAAAGAAGCAGTAAGTATTATGGGTAACAGATACGTTTTGATTTGTTAATGAAGCTCAGAGATTATTAGGAGTGAGTTTATTCCCATTCAGATTAAACCCATATCCACAATGGAAGGTTAACCATCATTTATCAGGTAAACCCTGTGGAAATTGAGAGGTATGAAGATACCTTCACACTAGCAATAACATCAGTTGAACCCATTCTGACTCTTGCAGAACCATTTGCCTGTCAAGAAGCTCACAGTTGTATCGAATTTAGAGATAAAGCTCAATAGAAGAAGCAATAAAAATAAGTTTCTTTGTGATGGAAGGAACCAGGAAAAATGCTAAGTTCCACTAACTATTCCTTATAGAAATGCACCTCAAAATGACTACTAATGTTAATGCATGTCAAAGACTTTAGATGATAAAATAAGCAAAAAAATTGCCAAAATCCACCTGAGGAATGACTCCAGTATCAATGGCAATTGATCTGTAATCTAATCTCCTACGACCATCACACCGAAGATCATCCGCAATCCCACCCTTTATGTAATTCTTCTCTCCAAGAGACAGACCCATCATGCCTACAAACAATAGCTAGCACTCATATACTAGCTAGCATTCATATACAAGATAAAACGACAATATACCAGAAGTACAGAAACCCGGCAAACTCCTCAGACGGTCAGACCATAACTATATGCCAATCAGTATCAATGAAAACTACAAGGAAATATGGTAAATAAATGGGCTCAACTTAGTGAGTGGAAAGAGGACAGATAAGGTAAAAGGAAAAAAGAAAACCTTTGGGGTCATAAAAGATATTATCACTCTTAGTTACAAGAACATATGACAGCATTTTGAAACTGGGTGATTAGGGCTCTGAGCCACCCAAGTCAATCAGACCTGGCGTGCTACCAAATCTGCTTCAGAAACCTTAAGACTCTCCTGAGTCTCACAGGTATGGACCGCAACTATGTTAATTTCACAGGAACTCAGCCAGGTTGTACAGCTAACTTGGGGACGGGACCCAGAAACTTTGACCCTGAGTCGGGGTTTGAATAAATGATTTATGAATATGCACCCTTCCAAAATAAAAAAATGAAGTCCTTTCCAAGTATACTCAGCAAGGAGAGCAGAATAACTCCATGTCTAAATGTCAATTGAACAACTAATACAATGCAAATATAAATAAAGTGACGATGTCTTAGGATACTCTACAAACAAATAGACCACAAAAATCTTAAATTTCTGTACTTGTCTTAACAAGAAACCACCAAAACTTCCTCTCTACTCCTCTAGCTTCATCACTTTCTACTCCAGCCTTTAATATATACTTTAAATAGAGCAACAATTGATAAAGAGAGAAAACATTTCTCATTATGATGCCATAGGAAACGACCTCCATATATTTGAATATCTTATACACATTTACTTATATGTTTCCTCCACTGAATATCTTCCTGAGATGGTTCTTTATAGTATCAAATCCAAATATACTTCATGCAAGACTAGTTGTTAATAATAAAAATTGACATTTTTAGATATTGATTTTCTTTTTATCAATCCAATATTTTAATCATGTCAAACCCCAGAAAAACTGCACGAATCACACACGCACCCACGTACAAATGCGAATGTACACACGCGCACAAACACACATGCACGCACATACACACGTGCGCACATGCATACACACGCAAGCGCTCACATGCGCGCACGCAGAACAAGCAAGAGAGAGAGAGAGAGATTATGATAACATGTAACAGTTTGTAAACTACAAGTAGGCACAATCTGAACAACCCCAGAACAAATTTGTCCAAGGAAACTATAACTTAATGGAAACATATGAAACATGATTAGAGTTCCCACTAAGGAGTCGAACTCAAGCCAGCAAATAACAAAAATCCCCAATTCTCCCTCTTAAAAATCTATTTCAAAATACTATAACTGTAATCTCTTGGGCTGAACAGAAACCCTTTCCTTAATAAATAGAAACCAAGCCAAACTTCAGTAACAAATCCATGGAGGATAATGCTTATACAGCAAAATTTGGGTTAATGCAATCTTATAGGTTATGAAATCTTATTCTCAAACAATAGAGATTTTCATAAAACAAGAACCCCAAGAAAGAAATGCCTGAATTATTAACAGCTGCAGAATTTATATCAAAAAATTTATTAAAGAAAGCACAATTCCAAAAAGTAAAGATTACATCATTGCATTTGATAAATGTAAGAAAGGAAATGTTATACAACAATTTCCACCATTCCCCTCCCAATTTCATCAATAAATCTAAAGAGATGAATACAAGTTGCATTCTATCCAATTTCACTCAAAAAACTCTTTTCAGTTGGGGGGTGGGGGCGGGGGGGGAGGGGGGAGGGGGGGAACTATTTTTTGTGAAGCAAATGGAACAATGAGTAGTAGACCCTATTCTTCAAGAACCAATATGTGTTCTTTTCAGACTGCAAAACCCAAAAAAAGTGGATCGACCTTTGTATCTTTGATGATGAGATCCACTTTGTGCGAGAAATTGACTCGATCTTCCGTAAACTCAATGCTAAATGACATCTCCAAAAACCAACCTTGTAGTTCCTAAGGAACTATTCCAAATTCTCTCAAAAAAGAAAAACTTCGAAAGCAAAGACCTATTAGCTTGTGTCTATTTCTTCATTCTATCAAACTCACTCCACCATACAAAGACAACAAGCCATTTCGTTTCCTATCCATTTGGGTACTCAATTGTTTTTTGAGGCTGATACATCCAAATCTGTGGAGGACCACAATTTAGAATCAACAGAGACTCCGAGTCTAGCTGTTTCCCAAAACCCATCTAGAAACAAAACCCGGACTATGGGGTTAAAACTGAAGCTTACACATGATTGATACTTCAAAATGAGAGAATGATAACCCAGGTTTGGCTATACCTTATGCATAAAAATGGCTTCAACGTTCCTAGGTTTTTTGATATTACAAGTAGTAACATCGAAATTTGAAGAATAAGGAAGAAATCAAAGGGGTTTAGAGAGAAGAAGAAGAGAATATACCTATCTGAGTCCGCTTGCGTGAAGAAAGATTTTAGAATTGGTGTGTGATAAATAGGAAGATATCTTTCAGTTACCACACCAGCACTTTAAACCATTAAGCAAGAGACTCCACTGGAAGATCACAAATCCAAAACCCTAGACCAAAGGAAGGTCAAGGAGTTGCAAAGGTGCAGAAAGAGATGGGTTTAGGGCTCATTTGGTTCATGCATAACAGTTTGCATATGTAAAACAGTTTTCTGTAAACAGTTCCCTGTGCAAGAATTTTCCAATCCTATTTATTCCCATGTTTGGTTCTCACATGTCTGGAATTCATGTGTACCCAGTTTCTTATGTTTGGTAACCCATTGGTAAACTATCTCCCAAAATCTGGATTAATACCTACTTTTAACTGTTCTATAGCAATATAGATGATTTGATATCGACGTCCATCCAATTAAGATGTGGACTCTTCTCAAAAAAAAAAGGATGATTTTTCTTAAAACTTTCAATCTATATTATGCTTAAAAACACGGATGGTTTAGATCATAAGTTTGGTTCACTTTATTAAATAAAATATGGTGGTGCTATAAGGTGTAAGCCATGACTACAGATGCATTGAAAAGAGAAGAACGGTCCCCAAGCATCTAACGAGAATGGAAACCATGATTATTAACAAGAAACATGCCAACTAAGTTCAGCTTCCCTTTTCAAATATTACCAAAGTAACCTACATAGGATGGGGCCCCAACACCTCCCCCAAGAACAACAAGGATGACCTCGAACATACAGGATGAAAATATACTTCCTTCTGGTGCAAGCTATTAACAATATTCAAAATAGAATCTACGATGTCCTAGTCTGTGTGTGTGTATATATATATATATATATACCCATAACATCAGAATGTCAAAGCAATCAGTCACAAATCACAGGGAAGAGTGTGAACTTAATCTGAAACGAGTCACAAATCACAGGGAAGAGTGTGAACTTAATCTGAAACGCAAGTACATTACTTTTTCTATGGGAGTACATGATATCAATCAAAAGAAAATATTGAAAGTGAAATTTAACATAATAATTAAATTTCATCAGAAACTTAGAGCATTTCAAACTCATCAATTTTTCAAACATCAAATATTGAGAGCATTTTGAACTCTCTGATAGGGCCTTCGCATCAAAACTCATCAAATTTTCAAACTTCAAAATTAATAAATTTTCTGAAATCCGTCAAATAAAAGAAATAAAATCAAGGCTAAAATTATCAGAAATCTCTCAAAAATAGAAAGACAGTAAACCAATTAGTTACCAAAATTTTCTCTGTAGAAAATGAGGATTTCACTGATATTGCTGAAAAAGATCAACTGCACTGAAATTTCAAAAGTGAAAGTTTTAAGGTATAAAATTCATAACCAAAGGGACATGAAATTGACCTGTAAGCTTTGGACCATAGGCTATGGCGAAGAAAACAGAGCTTGGAGCTTCAAAAAAATGACAGACTTGGAATGAGCTTTTCTTCCATAAATTGCAGAAACAATGGGAGTCGCTCTCTCTCTCTTGCTCTCTCTTTTTCTCTCTACTATAGGCTTCCGCATGGGTACTATATAGCGCAAATTTTTCTTCTATACAACAAAAAACCAGCAAGCAATAAAAAATAAAAAAAAGAAAAGAAAAACAGAAAAACAGAAAAAACACACAAAAAAGAAGCCCATACCCACATTTTTCTACTGAGAAAAGTGTGCTCCTATCCTCAATAAAATAAGTCAAAAATAAAAAAGTAACAAATTTCCATGGGAAATCATAGAAAAAAAAATGTTTGCATTAGTACTTAAAAAAATCAACACCATCTAAAGGAAAAAACCAGGAAAATCACAAGAATAAAACCTCATACCCTTGTTGAAGAAGATGAGGTAATTTCTATGAGGGTTCGTATGAGGGAAACGCTACTTTGGTGAAGAATCTTTACACTATGATGAACAAAAACCAGTAAAAAATAAAATAAAAGAACACCAGGCAAAAAAAACCTTACCTTGTTGAAGAAGATGAAATCTTGCGAATTGATCCTCGCTTGTGGGTTTGTGAGAGAGAGGACGCAACGGGTTGAGAGAGAGTAGCGAGGAACGCTTTGTGAGAGAGCAGTCGGGGAGAGTGAGAGAGTAGAGAGGGTTTTTGCGAGAGAGGGCCCTTCCCATTTGTTCGCCATTTTATTTTGGACACGGTTTCTATACGGCCAGCTCACATGATGTAGAAATGCGGGCTTTTGGCAATAAACATATTTTTTAAAATAATTTGATCTAATTTTTGGAGAATATATAATCTTTAATATATGAATAAAAAAATTGAAAATTAAAAATAATAATTATATCCCAATAATATTTGAATCGTTAGTTACAATTGTTTATAAATAAAACACCTATTTGCATTCATCTTGGATGCTTGATCGAATATAGTAGAAATGCATACCAGCCCGAAACAATTTTCTTTTTATATTTATTTTTTGTTTGCGCTCCATAAACTCGAACGGAATCCTATTTCGGCCCGTGCGCATGATGCATTTCCGAGGAACATATTTCCCGCCATGTGAGGTGGGAGTTTTGATTCTAAAACTTTGCTCTATGGCTTTACGTACGAACCTATAAGTTTATATTTTATACGAAAATTGTTTCCTATTACAAGCTTTCATACGAATCAAACGAGCCCTTAGGGTTTCGGTTACTTAGGTAGATCTTTGAGAGATATGGGTTGGAGAGAAAGAGACAGAGGAGAGGTATTGGAGGGTTTTGGCAAGGTGAACGGACAGTCACGTTCCAGGAACGGGTGTGGGGTTTGTTGCCGCCCTTTGCAACGTCCCACGTTCGATTCACGCCTCTCATTTACCCAAAATCAAAAATAAATAAATAAATAAAAAGTTCATGGTTGCAATTTAAAACAGGAGCTGTTTGTATAGAGCCTAGGCTCTGAACAATCAAATTAGAGCCTACCTTCAAATAGTATCGAAAAATGTGATTTCATTATTGGAAATCTTTGTTATAGCCTTAAAATATATTTTCATCTTTATTTATAAACTTTAAAGCTTAAAAAATAGTATCGATCGATAGATATATGAAAACTTGAAAATCTTGAAAATTAACGGTAAAAAAATGCATTACAAAATGCACTATTTCCAAAACTTGAAATCCATTTTTTACTCATGTCCCTGTATCTTGATGTTGAGATGATCAATTTGAGGATATTGGGGCATCAAAACCACCTCTTCTAATGAAATTTTTGAGGTAGGCTCAAATCTGATTGTTTAAGCCTCAGCTCTATATAAACCTTTCCCATTTAAAAAATATAGAAATAAGGCGCACCTCAAAAAACCATGGAAATTTGAGGTTGGAAAACCCTCTAATTGATCATGTATGAATATATTTTAAAAAAAAAAAGATTTTGAGTTTCAAAAATAGTGCATCTTGTAACATACTATCTAGACCATCCATTTTCAACATCATGTGTTTATAGATCTATTTTATTTGAACCACTTTTAAAATTTAAAATTTTATAATTAGAAATGAAAACGGATTACCAGGTTATACTAATAATTTTTTACAACAAAATTGCTTCTTATGATAAAGTTTAGAGGTGCACCTTACTTTGATTGTGTAAGGTTGCAACCTTATACAAACCACACTCACAAAATAATTGTTTATGTTAGAAAAATGTTTTGATAGGGCTGCAGCCCTATCAAAATAAGCAAAGGCTCACCTCAAAACTCACCAAAAAAATTCAAATTTGGCATAAGAAAACATTCAAGTCGATCATCTCGAGCCCTAACCATAATGGTTATGAAAAAAATTTTGGGTTTCAAATCCTAAAAATAGTGTATATTGTAACACAATATCTAGACTGTCCATTTCTCTCCAAAATAAGTGCTCACTGATCTACAAGATTTGCACCTTTTTTTTTTTTTTTTTTTCTTTCTTTCCAAATTTCATAGTTGATGTTGAAAATTGGGTTTAGAGTTATCATGGGGATTTATGATGTCCAAATTGCTTTCTAGAAGAGGATTCATGATGAGGCTTTACTTTGTTTTCATATAGCCTAGGCCTTATAGAAACTGCATCTTTTATATTATGGAGCACGTATATTATGTTCCTACGACAGCACATTGTACATATATCCCCTCAGTCAAAAGACCTATTTAGGATTATTTTTTATCAAATGAAATTCAAGTGAACAAAGTGGAGTTTGGAAAAAAAATATTATTGAGCTTAGTCGATCGGTTGAAGAGGTTACATCCTCAAAATCTACTCATAAAATAACTTCTAGGTTGGGTTTTACCCAAGGGAGTAACTCTCCAGCAGACTAGTGTTTTAAAACTTACGTCAGGGCCAGATTGGTCACCCAGTGGACTGATCTAGAATGCCGATCTGCACCAAATCAAACTGATTCTCTAGGATGGAAACTGGTCTTAAATGGATTTAGATAATAATTTTAGATTTGAAAATATTAAAAATTTTAAAAAATGAAATGGATGGAAACTGGGCGATTCAGTTAATCCAGATCGCCTTATTCCCTGATTGACTGGCAGAGGGCGTGTCAATCAAAATTAGATCGATTTATAGTTCTGGTGAGGAAGAAAGTCAGTCCCCATTTATTCCCAATCCAAATCAATGGTTTTAAAAGATTGTGGTTGAGTATGAAGTTTTTTGGATATATTATGTACTCATGGCCATATGGGAGGATACCATGTGGATACTGAAAGTTGGACATGGTAATCTAATACATTACATATAATTTTAAATTTTAAATTTTTTATATCAGCTAAAACACTACAGATGTCCAAATACAATTAAATCAATTCAGATGTCCAAATACAATTAAATCAATTCAAAAGAAAACAAAACCAATTACATAAGAGGTTCTCACTTACTGCCACTGATAAAACTTCTTTTATTCAATAAACAATAATCACATAATATTCATGGGAACAAGACAAAACATACGATTGCAAACCATAAAGAATATTTGCTAAAAAATTACCTTAACTAGATTTTACAAACCCTAATCAGGGTCTCCTCTCCTAATGGCGCACAGAATCAATGGTCTATATCAGATCTTCAAAATATGGGAAACCTTAGGCTATAACCCTTACTCAAATACAGAGCAATGGTAGAATGACTGGGCCTCAATGCCTACAAGGTGTGGGGCGTGCCCTCTCTTATGCTAGGATATCTCTAATATTTTCTAACCTTAGAGAGGCTATGAGAGATCGAGAGAGATCAAATATAAAGAGGGTGGCATGCCACTTGTAGGCGAGAGAGAGGGATTATATGTGTGGAGAATGAGAGAAGACTCCCCCAATTTATAAACTTTTTTGGATTCGGGTTTTTTAGGATTAGCCATCTTTAATAAGATTAGATCTAGACTATTGATCATAGGAGACCTTGGGGTGAGATATTTGAGCCATACAATCCTTAGATTAGCCATCACGGTTCAAATGAATGTGCTAGAACCTTATCCTTCAGCTTCCTTAACCTAATCGTATCGAATATATAAAATATGAAAAATATATCATACTTTCTTATCTCTTCCGTAATTATCTTACACATAGTTAAATTTGAAGATTAAATCTCCTTAATTCTCAAACTTTCCCTTTTCTCTTAATTGATTGCGTAGCTTGATTGTCAATCTCACAAAACAGGAAGCCCCCCAGAGTGGGCCCAGGACGGTGGGCAGCTCTCTAAAACAATTCAAATTAGTAAAAACATTATCTGAATATTTCAAGAAATAAAAAATCTAGGACTTTTGACTGAATGTAGAGCCTTGGATCGAATTGATCAAATTTCAACCATGACCCTACTTCAACCTATAAGTACCCCTTACAAAAATCCCACAAAAACACATGAAACTATACTGAAACTACACCAAAAATCCATAGAAAATAAAAAAATTAAAAAAATTCCTTGAAATTAGTAGATAAATCCTAGAAATTCGGACAAACCTTTAGAAAAATCCTATTAAATTAAAAAAAAGAAGAAGAAGGAAATACCATTTCCTTAAAAACTATAAAATATCTTAAAATTCGAATTAGAAAATAGGAGCCCCAAAATCCCTTAAAAAAATTAGAGAAAATCTTCTCCTAACATTAGAAAAAACATAAGCAAAAGACAAGATAGTATCATAAGAAGAGCGGCTAATCCAAGCCCAAAATTCCGGGTTTCAGATCCTTAAAGGTAAGTATTTCTTCCCTTCTTTTAATTTAGTTTATTTTTTCTTTAATTTAGTCTATTTTCTCTGCAATTTTTGTTATCCTAAGTTGATAAAATTTTAGGAGTATCTTAAGGTTAGATTTTAAAGTTGGTGTTGTCAGTAGACTCATAAAAAGAACCAGATCTGTATAGATTTGCAATATTTCTGAGCCTATAATTTATGTGATCCCACTCTCTTTTACTATTTGACAAATTTAACTCATTTAGCATGATATTTTAGTTGATCTCACTTTGAGATCGACGCAAATTCGAGCGTAAACAGATCTCAAAAGATCATCTCTCTCTAGGAACCACCGGTAGCATCAGCTTGAAATCGCACAAAAAAATCGAAAAAGAAACCTAAAAAAAAGGAAAGAAAACAAAAGAAATAAATAACTCAATTTATTAAACAAAAGAAATTGGAAAAGAGAAATTTACTTGAGAAAGCTAGAGTTAGGACACGTTCCAGGATTGCGGGTTGATTTATATTTTTGGTTCCTTTTCTTTCTCTTAAAGAATTCTCTTTAAAGCTTTCAAAAGATTTTGGAGATGTAGAGAATTTGGTTAGAATTTTGAAGAAATTTACTTAGGGTTTTAACCTAGGGTCTTTTTATGGGTTTCTTAGATATAGTGTTTCCGCTAATATGAGGGAATTGTTTCGGTATTTTTTTAGGATTTTCCTATAATTCTTGATTCCAAATTAAAATGGGGTTTTAGTCTTAAAATTTTCCAAGCAATTTCTATGATTATTGGATGATTTAATTATGGGATGTTGGGGATGTATATAGGCTATAGGTCTAGGGAATATTTGGAGAATGTTCTTGTTAGGATTGGGATTCGTAGACTTATCTGCATACTCTAAAATCTTTTGGGATTAGGATTACTTGGGTTTAGATAGGGGTCAAATCGAAGTCAAAAGTTTTTAGAAGATTCGATAAATGTGTCAATCA